TTCGTGGTCATACATATACCCCCCGCATACTTTTGATAAAACCCCTGTTCCCTCTGTTTTGTTCGGTGTTCCTTCAACTGCCAGCGAAACAGCAGGACACAAGTCAGTCCTCGTCACCTAGCGCACCAATCGTCATGGCACCACTTCGAGCGTGTGATCCATTATTGCGATATCTCGGGGCGTGACAGTTGTGTTAGGCATGGGTGCTGTGTGTGGGAAGACCTTCGTGGCGGCGTGGAATCGAAATCGTTTTTTTGGGCACGGGCAATCGGACCGCATCGCCAGGCGAAAAAGCCAAACCGGATTTCACATCGCCACGATGCTCTCGCCACACACAGCACCCATGCCCAGCACAACTATCACGCCCAGAGACACCACAATGAATCACACGCTCGAAGTAGTGCAATGGCGATCGGTGTCCTAGGTTTCGAAAACCAATATGGTGCTGTGCTCACATTGCTGGCAGTTCACCGCTCGGCGGTCAAAACAAATCATGTGCAGCAACAATACGTATCATCATCACATCACAGAGAGTCCAGAGGCATCGAGCCCACAGATGCTGTCGCCCGCTGTGCATGTGTGTCGCCTGTTGTGCGTATGCTGTCTGCTGTGCGGGTGTTGTCTGCTGTGTGGTGTCGCCCGCAAGGCGTGTGTCCTCTGCTGCAATCCGCCGTGTCCTCCGAAAAACAAGAAAGCGCGTCTGCTGACCCCTGGTAGTCTCAAAGAAAGTTGTGTAGTCTGTACAGTAAAACTTAGGTATAGCGCGTACAGACACGCAAGATGTATTGGGGTTCAGCCAGCCTTTGCAATTCGGAAGTCTGGCAGTCCAGATTAGAAATCTCGCTTCGCTGGAATAAATTATCGAAGGAGGCAGCTCTACAAAGTATTTTTCTGGGACGACGCTAAATGCCTTTGAGTATCGTGAGTGTGGAGAAAAAAGGGCCCAACTACCCTTTTCCGCACGCTCCGGCCGGTTTCTTCGCGGTGTGGTATGAATGGGGGTGTGTGGCTGCCTCTTTTGCCACCAATCCTATGAAGAACACTTCCTTAAGCCCTAAAAAGAAAGCGTGCAAGGGAAGTGTTTTTGACAAAACAAAAACTTGTCCACAATACTGCGGACTTCTCTCGCAACTTTATGCTCCCATGAAAGGCGGTACGAGGTCCCAAGCGAACGGTGAAACTGCGCACCATTCCATTCTCCCAAGTGACAAATATTACTGCCCTCGGGAGAGAGCAGCGACAACAGTGTCCCGGAAACGAACACGACAATACTCACGCCTTGTTGAAGACTTGATCATCGTTGGTGTCCAGGAAGCCACGCTTCGTCTTCTTCCTCCTGCCGCCGTTACCGTCTCCGCCGGTGCCGGGTCTCCCTCCTCCGGACGCCGGGTTGCGGTACTTCTCCACTCAGTCCGCTGCGTTAGCCATCGCGTTGAACCCGGGTGCCTCGTGGACCGCCGCCAGCTCAGGAGCTAGCTCGTTGGCCTCCCATTCTTCGCTCTCCTCGGCAGCGATGTTATCTTGCGGTCCTCGTCGAGGACCTGCAGCAGCCAATTAACCGTGGAAAACATGACGTGGCTCATCACCTGGCAGGTCGGAGATGGGATTGTTAATCGGGGTAGGGAGAGGGCGGTAAGTAGGAGCACGTGGCCGCATCGTCACAAGTCTAGGAGGCAACCGTTGCTTGCTCGGACATAGGCAGCACAAAGCATCGTAAACTCAAGCCATAGAAACTGCTATGTAATGAAACCATAGAGGATCTGTGGGGGTTACGATCGCTGTCGGGGAAGCACGCCGGACAACACGTGGAACAGAGGCAGAGAGGGATTTTCGGCCCACCCACTCCTTTTTCTGTCAAAAGGACAACACTGCATGTACCAGCAGGCGTCTGGTTTGTTTGCCTCCCTTTCTCTCTCTCTCTCTCGCTTCTCGCTCTCTGGTACCTCTCAAGTGCAACAAATAGACAATCCGAAACAAAGAGTAACAAAGCACCCATACGCACACAACACGTCAGAGGCAAGCATGATCGTTTCGGAACAAAAAGCCGCATGTTCTTCCCACCTAGATATGAACACCTTGCGGGCTAGAACTACCGTCGGTCACACAACAAGTGTCTTACCATTTCGTCGAAAATCTCCTCGGTTGTGGAGAAAATCTCCCCGAGCGGGCGACCGTCGTGGTGGTTCCGGACGGTTTGGAACGCTCGCGCCGCGAACTCTCCTGGCTTCGCCAAGGCGATCGGCGAGTCAGAACAGAACAAGAAATGTAAGAGACCGGTAAGTGTTCGGGTTGCGAGGAACGCTAACGTTCTCTAGTCCAAACCTACAAGTAATGCTTCGATATGTCACCGTGTGGAGTGGGGATATTTTGGCGAAAACACAAGCAGAGCAGGGGGTGCTAGCCTACGAATACGCCCGCTCTACCATGTACGGTGCTTCGGAAAGCATGTGGCCAGCGTTTTGTAGCAGGACTAAAGCAGGCGTGGGGGAAATTACTCCATTCGGGAGCTAGACAAGGCAATGCACCCTTGGTTCGACGCCCTCAAGTCGTGCGACCCGCTCTTCCGAACCATGGAGGCCTTCGCATGATACACGACAAAAAAAACTTCTCGGCCGCTGGCCACCGCGAGCAAGCAACCAACAGTCTTGCAGAATAGACGAAGTAGTAAGAGCAGGCGGCTTTCTGCAACGGCATCTGAGGCAAAGAAGCCGTAGCGCACAACCACACACCGAGACATGTTTGAGACAAAATATGCCGGGGGGCTCGCACACTCATGCTTTTCTCCTTTTGGACCGATCACCCACCTCCTTCCACGTTTTCTGCCGCCCGTCTTCCAGGAAGGCGAAACGCACGCGGCATGGTCTCCTCCGCGGGGGGACCCCATCGTAGCGCCCATCGGCGGAATCTTCTTCGCCGTCGTCGTCCTCGTAGCTGGCCGCCGCCATGGCATCCAGGGCTTGCTCCAGGCTCGAAAAAAAAGACAGCCGATATTTCCTTATTCGTTTGGCAGGCTTTTGTAGTGAGGCTGACACAGAACTTGTCTGAAAGGGCAGAGAAGCAAGAAAAAACGGAACAAGCAGAACGAGGTTGTTAGAAATATCATCTTGGCAGTCAAGATTGGGTGATTGTGGCGTTTCATTGATGTAGTGAAAGTCGTATTCGTAACAAAATACAAGCGCTCAGGACGCGGGGGG